GTGTTTATTCTTTTCTTACTGTTATTAGTTACCTTCGTTTTCTGATTTTAGTTGAACCTTTTGCTGAGGACGGAAGCAAAAAAAGGCATTCAGTGCTTTGCTCTGCTTGATGTCGTCTTCTGTTATCAAAGGTCGAGTTATTAGAGAAATGTTTCCTCTCTCAGCTGTGCACATACAACGCTCCATGGCAAACGGACCAAAACTTTACCTGAAAGCTTTGATCATATTTTAAGTTGTGTTCTTATCTCTAGAGTTAAAATCATACTAAGAGGCTCATAACTTGCATCAGTTGGCCATAAGCTTGTAGTTTATGTAGCACAGATTAAGAGTGCAACTAAATTCAAAGCTGTCAGTGGCAGAGAGAATTCTTTGTCACTTGTTTATTCAGCCAGTACCCAGCAAAATGCAGATGATGCTTCTAAGTGATGTTGCAGTACAAATGATTACTAATAGCGGTGTAGTAGACCTCACTGGACAGACAACTGAATGCCAGAGGATGTGCCTGGTTCAAACGTTGGAGAGTGGAGAAGGAAAGGAAGGATACGCAGCAGCTGTGTAAAATTCCAGCAGATAAAATAGCCTTTAGGATAATGTAAACATATTATAAATGATTTAGCACTCATTGTTCAGTCAAATTCAGGCTGTATTTTTTTAGCATTGCAATCTTAAGACAAATACTCCAGTAATGACACACAGTTTGTGTGAATATGATACAGGATTATCATCACTGGCACAGCTTTTTTTCCATCTCAGTGTTGAATTTGAGTGCAGGATCAGAACACCCAAACCACCGTAGCTTCTAGATTTGTTAAAACCTCTGCTTCAGTGTTCTAAAATTGTTTTTAAAATCTAATTTTTATTAAATGTGTCCTTTAGCTATATAATTTGATCTTGAATTGATTATGAAATGCAATCCAGCCTTTTATATAATATTCCTACAATGCTTGTATGCTCATTGCTTAGTTGACAGAGACTAGCAACAAGAATTATAGTTTCAGTGAATTTTGTTAACTGAGTAAGCTGGATTCCTGGGTTAAATTAACTGAACGTTAATTTTTTGCTTATACTAAACTATATATATGAATGTATATAGGACATATCACAGGTTGTGTTTGCCATATATTACTTGAATGTCGGTGTCCAGAAGCCTCCTTCAAGCTGAGGGGCACGTTGTGCTGCATGTGTTAAATTAAGACAAATGAAGTCCAAGAAATGAAAACTCAGTAAGGGTTTTTTTCTGGGGGGGGAGGGGGGGAAAGAGGGTAAGCAGAATAAGAACATACTTTTCTAACACGTTTTCTAACAAGTTTTACAGGTTGGAGAATCCATAATTTCAGCTTTCAGTTTTAAAAAGCAAGATATTTCATGGGTGAATCAAATGATACTCATTTGTTTCTATAATCCTAGCTCTAATCACATATGTGATCTTTTATGTGTATATATGTGGAGGCATGGATTTCCAAAGCCTGCTGGGTGCTTGTTTGAGGAAACACATTGTATAAAAACATTAGATGATAATTTCATATTTAAAGCATCGTTCTTGTGAACTTACATGGCTTTTTTTCCTATTTACACTGTTCATAAACGTTGGAGTAAGATTTATTTTTAGATTGGGTTCTTAAAAAGGTATTTGGTCAGCACACATAAAGCAACTTCTACAATTTATGTGGGAAGACTTGCCAGATTCCTGGTGCTATAAAGCATATTAGCCTTTTTAATTCCAGTTCTTTGCCTGACTGCTGCATGTTTGTGGCCTCTGCCAAAAAGAGCACGTTTCCTCTAACGCTCTTACCGGTTAAACAAGACAATTGTTACATGCTAAATCTTGAAAGTTCTCTCTCTCATTCTTCAGTCGTCGTGTTCATCGTAGACTGCATGTTTGAGGCAGAAACATGCCTGGCATCTCCTCTGTTCAGTTGTAATGTGGCAAACTGAAGAGACTCCCTGTACTCAGGTTACAACGGAGCTACTGGGGTACGATTGTGTATTGTCATAGTGCAGAGTGGCACTAGTAGTTAGAGCCCTGGTCACTCATTTCTCTAACAACCATTTTCTCCCTGTTTGCTAGTCCTGTGTACAGGAAACTGATATATTTAATATTTATACTTATTTAAATAAACAAGGCTGCGTTAGGTTCCGAGCTTTACCACCCATTCCCTCTCTTAAGTGAAATACACCGAAAGAAGCTGAAGGTTAATGTTTTGGGCCAGAAGAGGGAAAAAAAAATTTCTCTGTGTACGTAAAGATAGCATCTTGACTGAAATGAATGACGTTATGATAATGATTACTAAGTGTATATATCCTGAAGAATATGCAGTCTAACAATCATTGAGGACTACAGAGGAATTATTATTATTTTTTTTTTCCTCTAAAGTGTTGTGATGTAACTTCTTGCAGATACTCTGTTTCAATACATATTTCATCCTAATTTCTTCTAATACAAGTTGTGAATCTGTTGCAGTTATTAATGCATCATTGTTATTTTTGAGGGTAATGATCAGTTTTGGATCATCTGACTATCTGATGCTGCAACTGCAGCTCCATTTGCTGTGTAATATAATAAATAACTGGGACGCGTTTCAGACATGTCAGATGAACTTTGTCACCAGTAGGTCAGTGTTTATAACAGAAATGTGCTAAAGAAATTCAACCTTAACTTAAAGATATGAGGTACTTCCAAAATTTGTTTCTGATATTTTAGAATCCAATGGAGAGTCTTACACAGAAGTATCTAGACAACAGAGACTTGTCTGGGGTAGATTCTTTCCTATTATTTCCCATTGCTTAAGGCCACTTAATTTTGGATGTTTCTAAGATACTTAATATAACAATTGCAGAAATACCACTTCTCAAACTGAGGAGCTTTCATCTTAACTCAGGTCTTTTAGAAGTTAACTAGAGTATGTGACTTTGTTGTTAGACTTGTAAGGTGTTCTGGAGGAAAGTTTGGTTGAGAAATTTGTTCTACAGTACATTAGGGTTGACCTTGGCGATTCCATGTGTAGGTGACAATTAAGGAGGTGTCACCCTTTTCCTGGAAGATACTGAAATTCTGCATTGGTAGTAAGTGTATTTATTAGATGTAATTGGTGTTAAGGAAATTAATGCTGCTTTTTCATCTGATAAATATAAATAATTTTTATTTATTGTATGTTTAAAAAAATCAAATTTCCTAATGTAAGTTTCTTGTGTTATGACCATGATTATGTGAAAAAGCTTTAGTTTCTTTATCTAAAGTAATGTACAACCCAGGCCATCCTTTTCCTGTAAATATCCTTGTTTTTTGTGATTGAATGTCAACACCAAGAATTTAGCATGCTAATAATGATTGATGGTTAAAGTACAAATGAATTTTTGTATTCAAACTTGAATTTTTGGTTTCACAGACACGAAAATACTTCTGCTGTATTGTTTTGCACTTTATTGTACCTTCTCCATTAAAGAAAAATTGGGAAGACAGGAACGAAAATATCTACTTGTAATAGAGCTTTTATTAGTATAATGTTGGTGACTGACTGATTCTTGACTTATCTCCCCAAATGAGTTGTAGCTACTTTCTGTCACTTTGGTTATTAGCTTATGTTTTGATAAGCTAAGCTTGTTAAATACCCTGAACTTAAATATGAAGTTAAAAAAAAAAATCCTGATTTAATAAAAAATGGGAGGGTTTACTCCCTTAGCCTTTAATGAGTGCTCAAATGTCATATGATAGAAAATCCTGTAAAAGAAAAAAAAATAGCAAGCTAATTTTTGGTTAAGAATTTGCAACTTACATGAATTTTTGTAATTGTTTTGAACAGGTTGTATCAGTCTGTAAAAATCCTGTACTCCTTTGGGATCCTTGTGACCTATTCAATTCAGTACTACGTCCCTGCAGAGATCCTCATTCCAGCTGTCACCTCAAAAGTGGAGCAGAAGTGGAAGCTGCTTTGTGAACTTGTGGTGAGAGCACTTTTAGTCTGCTCAACATGTAAGTTTATACAGAACTTCAACAGACGTTTGCTATTCCATGTTCTTGAGGCCTGCATTGAAAGAAATATTCCTTTATATATTTTGCTGGAGGTTGGCAAATGTAATTTAGGCTTCAGTGACTCAGTTTTTTTTGATTTTTCATAAACAAGTGAATGTGGTGTTGTATTTTAACACATTTCTCTACTAGACTTAACCAACAATTTGAGGATAAAGCATCTTTTGACAATAATAATCTAAAGCTGCCAACTTGCAAATAGTTTTCTTAAGATGAAAGATTTTAAGTAATACACACACACTGCTATTTCATGTCTGTGTTTCTGTATGTGACCTGCAGTGTGAGCTGAGTACAGAGAAATTCTTTTTCTGTTTTGCCAGTCTATGAGGATGGTGTGCTGCTGTATATCCATAGAACAGCACTGGCAAACATTGGTTCCTGGTGTTCATGGAGTGCCACTTATTTTAGGTGATAATGTCCCAAAGTAGTGTTGTATCTGCCCTCAGCGTCCATTCCTCCTCCTTTTTTTTCTAGATTGTCCCCAGCTTCCTCTACTTTTCCCATCCCTCCCATTCTGTCCCCTCTTTTCTCAGGGGGCTGAGTACTATAGGCAGTAGTAGTAATCAGTAGTGGAGGGCCCCTTTCTGTGTTCATTCAATGGCGAGCATGGTTTCATCTGGGAATTGATATTCCTGAAGGTAATTAAGAGATAGGAAAGTTTAGATCTCTCTTGACATCTCCTATCAAAAGTGCTGAATAACATAGAGAGGTTAAAATGAGCTCATCTTGAAAATGTTATGAAAACTTGTTTCTGGTAAAAAGCTGGGTTCTTGACTTCAACAATTTTAACTTAAAGTGTCTGCTTACCTTAAAAAGAAAATCAAAACTTCTAAACAAAAAAATGCCAGTCCTTGTTTTTCGGAGCAGAAAATGGAAAAGAAGAAATTAATTGTCATTGGCTCTGTTCTCTTGGTGCATGCTGTCAAGATTGGAGCGGCTAATGTTTGTGTTGTCTCAAAAGAAGGGTTCTTTTTAGCCGGTGTGCAATGAGCCTAAAAACACCCAGAACAGAGTTATTTGTTTAATTCATATCTGCGCAGAGAAGAGTGCGGGCTGATAATTCCACAAAGCTAGCACGCCCTGGTTCCTACACAGCCGACACTTTATACAGTTTGAGCAACGGTTATCAGTACGTTTTACAACTGCATTGTCATCCTTGTTCCCGTTGGTTCCTGCTAGGTCTTCGTTTAAAGTCACAGTATGCTCTTTTTCTGCTACTGATGCTCTGTGGAGAAGGGACTTTGGTTGGTAGGAGGCTTTCCTGTTCGTGGGTGGGTTTTTACTATGCTGATTAGAACAGTTTACCCATAGTTCTCTTTGGTTTATCAACTGTTTTTGTTCTCTTTGGGCTTATTTTGGTACTCCAAAATTATCTTATTCCTGGTTATCTTATTCCTTCCTCCAGGGCTGTGTTTTGTTAACTATCCGTGAAAGACTGAATATCGCCTTATTCTCCCCTCAGCCCCCCCAGCCTACCTCCAACACAGTGAGGCCTTCTTAAGGTCAAGTCTTCTGAGAGAAATAGTTTAGTGTTGATGCAATTAAATTACTGCAATAAGCAAAGGGAAATACCACTGATTTAATGGTTTGCTGCTCTGAAAACACATCTGTTAACGTGAAATTGAATGCAGGATGTGAGATAATTTGAATAATTGAGTGAAAATCTCATTGAGTGCCATGTAGCCTGTATTAAACTTGTAGTGTTCATGGTGCATAGTGAATCTCGTAAGATTTTGAGATCGAGGATGGGTGAACTAGCTCTTGCAGTACCTGAGAGACATCTAGGTCAAAATGCTTCAAGCTCCAGGTTGCTTTGGGATGTCTCACCAGGACCTCAGCAAACTGCTCTGTCTTGACCATGTTTTGGTCTCATCAGGCTCTCAGCTTCCACTCATTCTCTATTTATTCTCTCCTTTTTGCCCTCTTTATGGCCTTCCCTGCTAATCATAACCACAATGGATTTGTAAAGCTAAAATTCGTGTCAGTCCTTTACAACTATAGGTTTTGAGACTCCGTAGGTGAACGATGCTTTCAGAGGTGCTTCTGACAAGAACAGCCTATGGTTAATAGGTTTAAATGCACGTTTGCCTATCCCTACTTCTGTGAGGAAATGACTCCATGATATTTGGCACTATTTTTTGCCTTACTTTTATTATTAAGCACTTTAATTATTGGGCAAACTGGGGAAGGCAAAACTGGACAGCAGTCTCCATAAAAAGGAAGTAGAAAAAGAAAGAGAATTAGCTTTAAAAGCTGGAAGAGGAATCTGTGCAAGGTGAAAAAAAGAATTGGAAGCAAATCAAAGGGTACATTGTGAGCTGTGCTTGCAAATGGAAAGGTTGCCTAGTGGGTTCAATTAAGTAGGGCTGAGTCAATTGAGAAAGGAAGAATCCAGTAAAGCATCAAGTATGGTGAGTTGCTTCTTCCCAGAAGAATATTTTTGTGAATTTTTTTTTTTTGTTTAGTTTTCAGACGTTTGCGCATTGTTATTTTCAGACATTTCATTGGTTCATTACAAGACAGCATCTAATGATCTTTCTTTTTTGAAGGCAAGATAAATATTTTAGATGATTTAATGTAAAGTGAATATTATATCTTTGTTTAAAAAAAAAAAAAGTATAGAAAAGTTGTAGTAAAGGTGGACCTAGTTCCTGACGTTAAAACTTATCAGTGATGCGAACCTGTAAAATAGCCTTGCTGAATTGTTACAGATTTAATCAGAGTCTTTGAGAATATTAAATCGTTTGCTAGAAGGCATTTACAGAAAAGTACAGCTAAAACTCTGCTCTTAAATGTTTGATATTTGTGGGGCTGTTATGTGATCAGCAGTGTCATTAGTTGTCATTTCAGCTTTTTCAAGTGATTTGTACACAGTCTGTTTACGCTGTTATCCATATGTGTTTGTCCTGGTTTGGGCTGCAAACCTTGGGTACAAAGAGCTGTTTAATTACTATTTAGGTCTCAGTAGTACGTTTTCACCAACACGTGAACGCTCCAACGTGTGCACGCTCCCACTCATCTTCTGTTTTCCACTTCTCATTGAAGCATTGGTTAGAGTTCAGAACGGATTTAAATAGTGCTTCACTTTCACTAAGTGCAGGAAATGATTCCTAAAATGATTTGGAAAATGTTTCTTTATTAAAAAAATCCCCAAAACTTTAAAATGGAGTTTTAAAACTGAAAATGTTTTTGATATCAGTGACAGAATATGTTGTAGTGTTTGGACCATTCAGGGGTCATACATTGATTCTGCCTGTCTAAAAGTAATTTTCTAAAAAGAGAAGCTAGTAACACATTAGCTTATTAAGAGAAGACTTGAAAAATCAGTTAACTTTTCATTATTACTAGTTTTTTGGGTTTTGGGGGGTTTTGCATTTCTTAAATAAAAATCTATGAAATAATTGTTTTATTGTTCCACAGATATATCAGAAGCTTGGCTGGGAACATGCATATCGGGAGATGATGCTAGCAGAATGTTGGATTTTGTTTGTTTAGCGGGAGGGAGGTTGCTTTGTTTTAAGTAAGGACTTGACAATTGGAGATGACACATACATCCAGAAAAAGACCTTGCTTATGGTTTTATGTGTATTTAGTTGCTCAATTTTGGACGTTTAATATTGCAGAAGGATGGTCACAAGTATATTATGTATTTTTAGATTTATATATTCTGCTTCCTCTGCTAATGTTTTGCAAAAGAGACCTAACGTGAAGTCTACTGTGGAAAGTTCACTTGACATCTAATGTTGCTGGTCCCACCAAACCTTAAACCTTTGAGTGGGGGAGAAAGTGCCCCCAGTGCTTGAGAAGCACAGAATATGTGTTGGATGGTTATCACTCTAGGAGCAGGCCAGTCCTTCATTTTTCGTAACTGATCAGTTCCTGAGGAGCAGTGTGATCACTGTGATTCTCTTTCTGGACAGAACTGGTAATGACAACTACTTAAGGGATTGCTATATCAGAAGGGAAGTTACAAATAGATTTAAAAACAGCGTTACTTGCAGCTACCTGACATTTTAGATCTGTTCTTCATAGCTCTTTCAAGACTCTGCCCCACTGTCATCCGAAGTAAAAGCAAATCCTAAAGGACGAGTACTAAATTGGGAAAAACATACCTTTCCTGTGGTTATAATCCCTTGTTCGTACTTTGTGAACAAGGAAACTGAGTACAAATGACTTAACAGAGTTTGTTCCCTACTGCTTTTATCTCTTCTTACAATTTAATATAGTATTAAAACAGCATCTTAGTATTGCGTTATTAAAAGTGCAAGTGAGATATTTTTGAGTTTCGCAAAAAAGGAGGAGGTGAGTTTCCATTTCATTTGGTATTGAACACTTCTCTCCATTTCTTTTGCAAGGGAAGTACATCTCTTCCTTTGGTGGATTTTACCATGTATTTTGTGTGGTCCTTCAGCTTACTGTGATACTTCATAACTGTAACGCTGAGCAGTTGTTTTACAAACTCTGATGAGCAGCTTGTGCAGTTGCTGGAACTGGAATGATGAGCAAGATTTTTGGTGAAAGTCCAGAGCAGCGCTGAAGACTAGGTTCTGTAGTTAATGAATGGAGGTGGGAGGTTGTCATGCAGATAATCAGGCAGAAACGTGATTGAAAGCTTGACCAAAGATGACTGTGAGGTGAACCTGCCCTCAGGTCACCAGCATGCTTGGAAGTTCCTTGCTGTGCTGTAGGATTCCTCTAGGCAAGCTCTTGACGATCTTCAGCTGCATGAATTGCAGCTCCTGCCTGACAACTCGTTGGCTGCTGTCCTCTGGTGAGTCTGTTCAGCTCATCTCTAACAGTTTAGAGAAAGTCTTTGTAACACATAAGACGGCAGAAAACAGATTTGATCACGCTCAGATTGTACAGTGCTCCCCTCACATCCTTGTAGAGTTTCAGGAGGTTCTGTTACAGTCGTGTATGTGTTTTTATTTGACGTGTAAATG